TTCTACACATACATGTATTCAACTTTTCATACTCTTGTATTTAACTGTATCCACCATTTTGCTTGGTTTTGATTTGTTTTGTTTTGATATGTCTCACTGTTGCATTGTTGCTTCCAATCGTTTTTAACTCGGAGATTGCGTAAGCAATCATAGAGTTGTTGGGAGGGGACAGGCTGTCACTCGCTCACTTTCCTCTAAACTTCCTGTTACGTTTTGTGTAAACTTCCGGTTAATTTTTGGTTACTATGGAAACTTCTGTATATTTGCATTTTGATTCTCTACTGGTTTCCCTGTGCTACATCTGATTTATTTTTTGGCAAATAAAGAAATCAAAGAAATATGGATCCATCTGGGACTTGAACCTGGGCCCGCTGGATTGGAAATCAAAGGCAATACTGATTAGGCCACGCATGCTAATGTTATACAACATCGGCTAGACTTGTCTTTTAAGTGACAGGCGCTCGCCCCTGCTTGTCTAGAATCGAAGTTAAATTAATAAGATTTTAACGAAAAAATCTGCATTCAAATATCGTTTACTTAAAATTCTATTTGTAAAGTAAATCTAATTTGATTCGTTGCATTGTTCAGTCACAAAGGAAGCATGAGGAAGACTCGCCGATCCGACGATTAAATTTGTCTGGAAAAATCATTTTACGTGTGTTTTATTTATCCACGTTCGTCTACAATTCAAAAAATGTATTCGCTCGCTAGCGTACTATTACATTGTAATATTTGATATATAGTTCATTGTGAGGTTAGATATCGATAATACTATTTAGAGCCGCTACGGAAACTGGCAAACAATAAAAACAATGGTGCCGTATCACGTATGGTTGGTCGGGGTTTCAATTGAACCAACTTCCAGTTAATTCACCGTTACGGAGTAAGCATTCTTAAAAGAATTGCTGGAAAAAGTAATTAATAATAAAAAAATAATAGTAAAGAACAAAAAAAAAAAGAAAAAAAGTATATGATATCTCTTGGGAATCGAACGGGGGTCTCTTAATTAGTACGCCTTTGTTTTAACCACTGAGCCACGATGGCAAACTTCGTACGAGCGTGGCTGGGATTTATTTCGCCGTCACTCGCCATGCTTATCCACACCGAAGTTAAAATAATAGGATAAATCGTTTACTTAAAATTCTAATTGTGAAGTAATTATGATTTGATTCATCGTACATGTATCGTTCTGTATCAATCTTCGAGTTATGCTGCCATTGGCTGCTTGATTGTGTCTGAAGGTTCACATGCAAAAGCCTATTTGACCAGATCCATCSTAGTAGTCCCAGGTCTGTCTGTGGCTTTTGAAAAACAGATAAAAAAAGCAATCATGATCATTATCAAAATTATATTT